AACATAAATGTAATACAATAACACTTAAATCTAAGAAAACCTCCTTATTTTGAAGTCGGTTAATAAATAAGTATTCCGAAGACATTACAATAACCACACTTAAACAACAAAAGAATTATGTGAAGGTCGGACAGTCGCAGCTTTTGCGCAGTTGAATCGTTCGATTTATTCATTTATCTGATAAACACTAACGTTTAAATACTAAACAATATTTTTTACGTAAGGCTATATTTCGAGTTCATATGATGGCTATTTGTATTTGCCTACTTGATATATTTGGCAAACAATCATCATATGTAGATAGCATGTGTGACAAAGTATTGGTCTTGTTTTGTCTATTCGACAAATGTTACAGCAAAAAGCGTTCACACTATTCCAAAGTCAAAGAGAAATAATCTTTATTTCATAGGTCAGCAAATTACACTTGAAATCGTCGTACTGATTAAACTCTACTGCTCATTCGTAAGGCAGATTCCCCTGAGAGGAATGAGTAAGAAATTCTAGGGGTTGCTCTTTGTAAATATACATTTGAATACATTTATCATTAGAATATAATAGAATAGAATAAATACATTTATTACATAACACCACAACACAACAGTAAAAAATAAAAAGTAAAAAAAATAAAACAGAACTAAATTAAAACAAACAGGAAATGAATAACAAAAAGAAGACTAAATAAAATTAATTAAAAATAAAATCTTAGCAATAAATAATTATGCGACCACAAAGCTGGTCAACACTATTGTTGTACTAAGTAGATGTCATGTGTGCGACTGTGGCGTATGTAATAGGATCCACTCAGCTAATGTCACCACTGGGAAATGGCTGTGACGCTGATTTTCAGTGGATCCTAAAACCGAGTGAGTACCGGACGTGTGTGTCGCGTCTAAACTAAAATAAATTACGTGTATATTTCTGTAATGTAGTATGGTGTGTTCTCTTATATTTATAAAACACTTAAATAATTCATTTGATACATATATGCAGTGATAAGCGTATGCAATGTAATACAATGCATTACAATATTTAATTTAAACATCTTAGATCGAGACTACCTGCAAGAGCTAAACGGGCTACTATCACGGAGTTTTGTCGTCCAAGTACGCAGAAGCTGTATAATAATAACCTTTAGTATAAAGTTTTTTTTTATTATAAATTTAGTAGCAGTAGGGCTCCGTGTGAAAGAGTTCGTCCATAGTAGTACTGCCACCTTACCTATTCCTGCACTAAGCAGTACTACGGTTTTGAAGGGTAAAGGTGCCGGTGAAATTACAGGCACATGGGGCTTGTCAACTTGTCTCAGGGCGACGGGCGCAGTGAGACTTAAGATCTGAGGCGCACTGCCAGATCTTTGCGATTTAAAGCCCCTAATGGCACTGCAACTGTTATGGACAGGCGAGCAGCTTACCATCATGCGCACAACTTGTTCGTCCCGTCACTAGATGTAATAAAAAGAAAAGTTTTTGTTTCACTATAGTTTTAAACCTCATAAACGACAAATTTTGAATATCTATTGGAATCTTATTATACATTGCCCATTGGATGGACATATCCATTATTTTGCTCCATGTGTAGACGATCATACTTGTCAGTGTCTGTCTCTTTCGCAATTATTACACATTAAATAATAAAAATCATTTATTGAAGAATTTACAGTCCACTTTGTAGTAGCGGTGGGCGAGTCGTTACTCCTATAACGAGTCAACTCGAGTTACTTTTTCATGAACTCGAGCTAACTCGGTTGAGCCACCCCACCCGCCGCCGAACCGAATACTTCATTCATACTGCGCGTCTTTGACCTTCAGAACACGCTCGAGTCGCGAGAGATGAGCGAGTCGAGTTATTTAACTCGAGTTACTCCCACAACGATTCAACTCAAGCTACACTTTGTGAACTCAAGCTAGCGCAGTCGGTTCGGTGCGGTCACCCTCGAGTCACGGTCGGCCGGCCGATCGTGTCCAAATCGGTGAATCGTCGGCTTAAGTTCTACTCGCGACTCGCGGTTGCTCTGTCAAACACCGAGTCGAGTTAACTCGAGTTAGCAGTCAAGTCAACTCGAGTAACTCGAGTTAGCTCAAGTCAACTCGAGTAACTCGAGTTGAAACAAATACAACTCGTCTCATCGCTACTTTGTAGTACATTTACAAACATATCTATGCTACTATTGTCCAAAAGTTATAGATAAAAATAAAGAAAATAAAATGAATGAACGAATGAATGAAATTACTATGGTACAGTTCAACGAGCTCCCAGGACGTGAAGTTCGGTGAATCTAGCAAGCAGATCGGCGTCCTGCCTTTCCCATTGGTAAATTCAAATCACATTGGTGATTAAACTACGTTCTAGGATCAAAATCACGTACACTATACAATACGTATACAACATAGATCTGCAGCGTCTCGGTGTAGTTTCAAATACTCGGCCTCAAAGTGCTGGAATATTATTCCACCACTCCAATTCACACCACACCATTCCAATAAACCGGATTCATTGCCTAATTTGCCACCCTTAGAGGTAGAATATTTTCTCCCAATTTGAATGGGACCACTACAGAGGTACCCCCTTTCCAAGAAGAAAATAATCATCTAAATCGGTTCACAAATGTCGGAGTAATTGCCAGAATACACCTTTTTTGCAGTCAATTAACAAATAAGGTTTAGTTATGTGAAATTTTTTGTCCTTACAGACCAGTAATGTGATGAGGGCCGGCTGAAAGGGCGGAGCCCTATAGCCTGCATCTTACAGCTGAAGTATGGCAGTGAGACAGACCCGGATGGCGCTAATGCACGATGACAAGCCGGCGCATGCCCCTCTTGGTAAGTATTAGAACGGTTACACACGACGACTTTAGGCAGCGATGCAAACGCGATGCAATTGCGATTCAAACGCGATACAATCGCGATACAATCATTTATAACATAGGTAAAATAAATTTACACTTGAAAACGTCATATTTAAGCTACTGCTCGTTCACGCTGACTTCCCTGAAGAGAACGAGCTAGAATCTCTAGGAATGGTTCTTATGAAACAAACTTAAATGCTACGGAATACACTTTGAATCAAATTTGTGTTGATTCTGGAGTCATGTCGTCCCTTCGACACTTCTTTATCTAAAACATACTCGTCAATTTTGTAATATGATTTTTCAATAAAAATGTTTTGAATGTAGTTTTTAAACTTAGGAAATGATAATCTTAATATATGCTCCGGAATCTTATTGTAAAAACGTATACAGTTCTAAATCGTGATCGTCTACCTCGAAATCGTGGTACCGTAAGTTTGGACTTAGTTCCTTAGACTCTAAATTTAATATTACGTGTATCGTCTTTCTTATTGAAATTATGTATATTTTTACGGGCATGCACGGGCACTCATGATACCAGTCTCCTTAAACTTTTCCCTGGGAGAAACCCGAGAGCCTAGACGGTACACAGAACGAATCGCTCGTTTTTGCAATACAAAATAATATGGTTTGAATATCTACGCGATACAAATGCGATACACGTTTTAAACGATTTCACTTCTCACTTCTAATGTACAATTAACAAAACAAAGTAATGTGTATGAACCTATACAGATTTTTCGTACATGATTATTCAACATAAGCGACTGTACCGACGCAGTCGCGCGTTTGCATCGATGCAATCGCCTATAAATCGCAAGTGTAGCGATGCAATCACGCGTTTCACGAACCGCGTGTAACTCGTAACTGTAATGAAACACAAATCAAATATTATGACGCCATTCAAACGCTCTACAGTCTCCTGATTGGTTAAAATATAAACGGTATTTGGCCAATCACGGACACTTCTATTTCTTTGGTTTTTTTAACCCATTTAAAAAAAATGAGGAGGTTCTCAATTCGACTACATATTTTTTTTTGGACGTATGATACGCGATAACTCCGCTTTGTGAACCGATTTTGATGATTCTTTTTTTTATTGGAATAACGGGACCTCGTTAGTCCCATTTACATTTGAAGAAAATATTCCACCTCAAAGGGTGGCAAACTAGGGGATGAATCCGGAATCGGAATAAAACTTGGCAAATACATGTAATTCCACGTACTTTTGAGAACGGTTTTTTAGTACTCTGTACTGAGGTTATGTTTTGTACCCTTTGTTTGCCTTCGTTTGAGTTTGTTGTCGTGGATTGTTACAAAATTACATTAAATATTGTTTGTGTTTCATTATTTTAATTTACTCAGGGTCGTATTCGAATGCTCCTGTCAGGATTGCACTGGAAACACAAGCACTGAAATACGACCCTAATGGCAGGGACTTGAGTATGATTTCGAGTGCTTTAAACCATACTCAAATCCTGACGACGTAGAGTGACGTAGAGTTCTAGAATACGACCCTTAAATAATTAGGTCTTAAAATCTCATACCGTATACTATGGTTACATTAGTAAAATAAAATAAAATAGTAAACACGCTATTCTACTTTAAGGACCTCATGCAAGGATTGCTTAAAATACTATTGTGATACGCAGGTTATGAAGGCGTTACAAGAATACATTTTGAATCATTGTGATCTGTCTTGCAGCATACAAAGTTTTCATAGTTTTTACGTGACTATCATGCAATAATATATTTACGATTTCGTATAAATACACTATAATCATGCAGACAAAACTATAATAAAATACAACGATAATAGAATTAGTAAGTTTGTCTAATAAAAATAATGATAAAATTAGATGATTTGAAACGAAATGTAAAGCGAGCATGTCATCGATAAACCTACACACTCTAAACCCCAGATCTTTGTAAAAGAAGTCCATTATCTAACCAACATGCTGCGAGGAGCCATTGAAATTAAAAACAAACATCCTAATTTCAACAATGGAAGATGGTTTATCCGTACCATCAGTTAGGGATCTGGTATTTGCTCTGATTAAAAAATCCTAACCACATAAATATAAGACTGCAGCACTAATTAATATGTTTTAATTGATTCTAATTACTCAAAATTACGGCGCATCACTAGCGGCCGCTACTCTGTGGTTCGCGACACTCGCGCCGGCTCCTGTGACTGCCATTTTAAGACGTGTGCAAAGACAAAAAATATGTATTTTTTTATTCCATTTAATAACTTAGCAGAAGTAAAAAGAACAGTTTTCCATGATCTAGTTTTCAGTTGATTACAACATTATATCGGGTTTTTTTAATTTCAATTTAAAAACCCCTAACCTAACGTAATAACTATATTAGATGCTGTTGTTGTTGTGACTTCGATATTTTGTGGAAAAACAACTGAAAATAGCCGAGACAAATATAAACATGGAAACGGTTGCGTCATTCCAGTGGGATGCTTCAAGTGGCGATTACGTTAGGCAGACATCATTATCATCAAATAAACAAAAAATATCAAATAAACATTACAATGACCTCGTTGGTTCAGCTACAGCACACAGGTCACAGGGTCGATTTGTCGGTTTTCTGGGTAATGTCCCGGAGTGACTTGCTCCGGTAGTAAGGGAATTCCCTAATTGGCGTAGTTGTTTTGCTCATCAAAGTTGGCAAGAAACTTTAAAATGAGTTTTTATCAACAACAACAAGCACTTAGAAAAATTCGTGAGGTCCGCTGGTTCGTTCCGTGGCTCAGTTGGCAAAGCGTCTGACACGGTTTGCTAGGAATTTTTTTAAATGATCTATGTATTAATAATTATAACTTTACAATGTGTTTTTATTTTTAACCGACTTTAAAAGGAGGTTTTATCGAGTTCTTAAGTTTTCGCGATTGTTACACATAGGAAATGAAACTATTTTTTTGAGTTTCGGTTGAGGCAACCGTGACCACGGGACGACGGGAAACGTCGGTTTGTTTGAAAAAACAAATATACGCGATTTAAATAGTTTCATTTCCTATAGGAGGTTTTAGGTTTATGTTCAACGTTTGTATTTTTTATGTACGTTCACTGATTTCTCCGTCAATTGTGGTCCGATTTTGAAAAGTTTTTTTGTGTTCGTGACGGTATACTCTCGAGGTGGTCCCATTGTCATCAAGTCAGAATATGTCAAGGGGATCCAAACGAAATCGAGGGAAATGCTCAAATTTGATAAGCATGTTTGGTGCGTTTGTTGAACTCTCACAAATTGAAGGTTCTCGGATAGACGTGGACTTGTAAGACATCGTCTACATCTTTCCATTTCTTGTAATATTTGTTAGTTTCCGCTTTTTAGTGTAGTGACTTTTTGTCGTGTTTGAAATTGGTTGAATTTTTTTTTAAGTTTGTTTTTGGGTTTCCGGTATCATAGTCTTCAACGCGACGTTATGAATTCTATCATGTCCACATGCATTTGCGTTCGTTTCCGGTCATTGTCGTTACAACAAAGACCGTATGTCGGTCTCGGCTGCTGGACCGTAGCCTTTGCTTTATACCTAATGCCTCCGATATTAAGTTATTTTTATGATAGCAAGTGATATGACGAACGAGTCGTACGTCTGGCGGTAAACGACACGCCTGTCCGTAACAGTAGCAGTGTCGCTCAAAGCTTTTTAGAGACCCCACCACATTTCACACAACGTCTTGTCCATGGAACAAAAAACAATGGAAGTGCTTTAAGCCTCGATTACTATCAGAACCGATGGCGCCAAAACTCATAAGTCCTTAATTTGAAACACTACATAACCTAACGTCCGGTTAAAAAAACCGACCTCAAAAGTCATTCATCCCCTAGTTTGCCACCCTTACAGGTGGAATATTTTCTTGAAATTGAAATGGGACCCATCTGAGGTACCTTCTTTCCAACAAAAAAAGAATCATCAAAATTGGTTCACAAACGGCGGAGTTATCGCGTAACATGCATACAAAAAAAAGAACATACAGACGAATTGCGAACCTCCTCCTTTTTTTGAAGTCGGTTAAAAAGCTTGATATCATATTGAAGCTCATATTTGGTGGCTATTGTTATAATTTAATTTATGTTTGTAAACTTACATTATTATTTATATTGCTTACCTTCATTACTTACACTATTTACATTGTTTGCTTTACATCTTACACTTATTGCTATTAGTATTTAGAGTTAGGTATATATATTTGCGTGTGATGCACTTTGGTGGCATGGCTTACTGGGCTGCGATCGCTCACCGTATGGTACTGGCAGAAAACCAGCTCTGTTTGACTTCTCTCGGTCTACAGTATTTATGCTGAGTCAGGGCCATTTCAGCACAAACTGTAGTCATAAGTATTTTAAAATTTTATCAGTTGTTATAGTATTTGTTTGTTTTTCTCACAGTATTTGTTTTTCTTGCAATATGTGTTTTATATAAATGTGTATAAAATTAATAATGAATGTTCTATGTGCTTTTATGTTATACTCTGTGAAGTGATTGTAAATGTTTTGCTTCTGTTTGTATTTGTGCTGAATAAACGTGTTATCTATCTATCTATCTTGATAATGATTGGTCGTAGTTTCAAATTTACAAAGAAATAACAAAGTCTGGATTTAAACTTATGGGCATATCGCTAAAAGCTCAATACTATTAATACCTGTTGCAAGTTACTACGTTTTTTCTTAAATTTTCAATACATATGCTGCCATCTAGTGGTTAATTGTTGAACGACGGCGAATTGGAGTTATTAATTTGCTTCTCCAAACAAGAAGCGACCGTATTGCAGGGGTGTAAGTTTTACTTTCATTTCTTGTAACAAAAAAATATTTCCACTAACAGAAAATTTAAAATTTGTTAAAATAAGACTTTTCGATGATATGAAATACCACCACGGGCAAAATCTTTGATGCGGCCATCATTTTTGCACTCCAAAACAGCACAATAAGATATTTTTCTAGGATTTTAGAAAATTTACACGAAAGAATGACACAACCATACCATACAAAGCGAAAATGGCAGACCTCAGATAGGTCTTCCGAGACCTATAGTTGGCACGCGTCGGACGCTAACTAACCACTTGTATTGTTTTTTTGTTCTGTGATCTTGCTAACACACACACAGCGTTCACACGACGGAGATGCCCGCGCAACCACGACGTAACACCAGTGCGGCGTAAACCCGTCTTTCGGCACTATTCAGCTTCACCCAGTGCTGGCGTAGCGTCAACGCCCTCGTCACTCTGAGACAAAGTTGAAAAGTCCCGTGTGTCTATAATTTCACCCTCTCCTTTCTACTTCTTGTCGTATCTATGGCTTGTACTATGCTATCGAAGCCCAGAATTTAGTTACGCTGATCACGCCACACGTAGCCGCTATGCTGAATCGTTGTGAATGGTTTTGCCGATCGTGCCGATTGTTGCCCAGGATTCGATAGACTTACTGGGAATACAATTTGTACGTCATTGCGGGTAGGTTCCTTTCGTACACCCAATAGCCCCCTGTTAACAGTCACGTGATCAGAAGCGTATAGGTTTGCGCGCGAGATTGCCTGCACGCGCCATCGTGTGCGATTACTATTTGCAATCTGGGCCCCAGTGTCTATGAGAGATAATTTTCTATCGTCACAGTACATTTATGAAAATGTTATTTATGTTAAGAAAAATAGTGTTTGTTTTTCATGAAAAGCAATCGTTGACATATTTAATACGAGGAACAAAAATGGATTGGCTGTCCTTGACAGTCGTCACCGCGATGTTACAAATTCGTTTAGGTGCCGCGCAAACGTGTCTTGTGTTGGATACAAGCATCCGGCAACTAGAAGCGAATACTCTATTTTCATGCAAATTGCGGTTGCGGCAATCGGACACTGTCGCCGGTTGCTACAACTGGCGACTGTGTTCTGGTTTTGAAGGGTGGGATGTTATAGTCTGTATTTTTTGAAGACGGAGTAAAATCACATTTGTGGGGTTGCCTGTTTTCATAAAATTTTAAATAGTCATGTCGTTGTTGTCGATGGTTTTATCGATAAATTGTGGAAGAAGATAAAATTTTGCCAAAAATGATTGAATTGTGAATGTTACGACATTGTTGTTGTGTGTGCTGAGTATTTGGTTGAATTAATTAATTAATTAAAAAGTAATTGGTCGAGGATGATTCAAATGACACAAATTCGGCTAGTTATTCCATATAAGTGTGACTAATATCCCATCGATAGTCGATAGAATATTTATCGACTGCAATCACTAGCTGCTCGCAAGCGGGCAACACTCTTGCGCAGTGAACTGTCATTTTACTCCGTCTTCAAAAAAGACAGACTATAGTGAAATTGCAGGGAAACAGGACTTGTCAACTTATGTCTCAGGTTGCCGGGCGCTGTGGCATTGCCCTCAAATCTTTGCGATACAAAGCTCTGAGTGGCACTGCAACTGCTACAGACAGACTTGTCGCTTAACACCAGACGCACGACTTGTTCGGCCCGTTCGTCAGTTGGTATCATAAAAAAAGCCATGATCGTCAAATTGAAATAAACATGTCAATCTTTAAACATCCCGTAGTTTTCTCAACGAGGTCCCCATGCGTACATAACGCGTTAATATTCCTATGTAAACGACGAATTTGTAAACGGTTCTTATCACCATGCGTTATCAAAGTTATCAGTGCCTTTAAACCTGCAAGACAACTTAATAATGTTTGTTTACTCTATCAAGACATACGTCCCATAATTTGTCGACGGCTCGCCTTAGGGATTTAGCGTATTGTTGTACAATACGTTAGTGACTTTCCACAACAAATTATCAGCAGTAGAGCTCCTTGTGATAGAGTTCGTCCAGGGAAGTACTGCCGCCTTACACATTTCTGCCGCCAAGCAGTAATGTCGCTTAATGACGCTTTATTATACTGCACCCTCAAGCTGTATAGGGTCACCTTACTAAACTTCACCCAAAGACTACACGTGTAAAGGTTTGACAGTATGCTTTAAAAAGCGTTAATTTGGCCTCTTTACTACAAAGCTTAAATTTTTTGATTTTGTCACCCAGTTAGATACCTTTACAGCTACTAGCCCCGGCTAGAGATGTCGCTATTCATTGTATTTAAATTTTTATTGAATTGATATTCAATATATAATATATGAGTAGTGAAGATTCAGTGCTGTTTGGTTCATATAGCGTAAAAAGCATAAATTCGCGGCTGAAGAAACATGTTTTGTAAATTATTATTAGATAATGTTAACAGAAGAAGAATCAGATGTACTACGTACCCCACAATCTCGCGATTGATTTTAATAGCCATCGCGTGCTCGCGCGAGAAATCAGATTTCCGTTAAACAGTATAATGCTCTATTTCGGCAGCAATACGGTTCAATATTACATCAACAAACATTTAAATTCTAATCTCGTCCATCCTCGTCAATCCAGATCTTTTCCACCGAAGATACGCGAGGAGAGAATTGAAATTTTGCCTTACAAATTTGTATTATCGTCTCGCCTCGCCGATGGAAAACCACCTTAAGATAGACAGACCCACACGCAGACAGACACTCCTCTTTTTGCGTCTAGAGTTAAAAATAATACGTAATACTATGACAACGGTAGTTTGTCTGATTATTTATTAACTGCTGATGCATTGTCATGATAACATTTTAATGCCACATTTGACGTATTGTTATTGATAAATAATGACATGATAGTGTCTAGATCAAAGGTCTCGGCGAATATAAGCTGAAATAATCGATTTATATTTCGTTATGTTGCACGATTTCAATGAACAATAATTTCATTGATGAGTGATATCAATAACCGACCGCTTAGGTCTGGATTTTCAAAATAAATGATGTTCTCCGCGATTGATTGGCTTACACGTCGGTTCTCATGGTGTCGCATTCTCTGAGGTTCCGGGTTCGAGCCCATCTAAATCTATGTAGAAAACTAACTTTTCTATATTGTCCCGGGGTAGAACACTCAGTTTCTGATATCGTCGTTGTTTCCGATTTCCATAACACAAGTGCTTTAGCTACTTACGAGCAACATATGTGATGTAAAGAATCGTGTCTCACCGATTTATTAGCTTACAGATGGTAACTTTGTTGACTTTTTGGAGTACACTGTTTTGTATCGAATGTTTTTCCTTTAAATTTAAGTGTTATTGTATACTGTCTATTGTATTGTATTACATTTTAAATATTAATTTGAATATTCATATCGAGTCATAAAACTTTTAGAAGTAGCTGTATATTGAGTTGTGATTCTGTATAGTTTTTTTTAATATTTACGCGATAATTCCGGTATTTGTGAACCGATTTTCATGATTCTTTTTTTTTGCTGGAAAGAGGGTGCCTCCATAGTGGTCCCATTTAATTTTGTAGAAAATCATCCACCTGTAAGGGTGGCTGTGTTCACGCATGAAGATTCATTTTAATAAATAGGGCCTAAATTTTATTATAAAAAGATTTATTATTTTAATGGTTGATTTTGCTATTCTCCAACTCAAGGCGTTTTTCTCCCTCAATTTACTTTGAGTAGTGAGAACCGATTTTTACTATCTACTGTGTCAAGTCCCGTATAGTGGCGAACTAGGGGATATTTCAATAAAACTTGGCAAATAGATGTAATTCCACGTACTTTTGAGGTCGGTTTTTTTAGTACTCTGTACTGAGATTATAAAGTAGAAGGCTAAGCCCTTTTTAATGTATATCCCTTATCCAAATGTTGTGCATAGCTGTAAATTGAATGCAAATTTACTTACACTCTTTTATGTACCTACCTGTTATAGTTATTAGTTTGTGTTAGGTACCTGAGCCAAATAAATGAAATAATTATATCTGTGAAACAAAATGCTAAGAAACGTTATTAATCATTATTTATTAATAAAGATTTTTTTTATAACATCAAGTGACGGGACGAACAACTTGTGCGCGTGATTGTAAGCTACACGCATGTCCATTACAGTTACAGTGCCACTCAGAGCTTTAAATTGCAAAAAACTGTTTCACTAGGACCTCTACTGCTACTAATGCTCGTTACACTACGAATAATATAGAAGAGAGAGAGAGAGAAATTACCACCGGTGTTGACCACAACAAAAAATTACCGGTGTTGCTATATTAGCATTTAAAAATATTTACTATTATTGTTAAATTTTATGCTCAGTATTGAACAATATCGCTGAACCTTAAGTTGTCTCACCCTATGTGACTTTACATTAATCATTTATCTACAGAGCCCTCATCAAAACCGCCAACCCACAAGGAAGACCACAACCACACGTCTCTCAGCCCCGCTGCGACAGTAGTGACGTCACTGATCTCCGGAGCCTTAGCTGGTGCCATCGCCAAGACCGCCATTGCACCTCTAGATAGGACCAAGATCAACTTTCAGACGTCGTGAGTAGAAATTGTTCCACTGAATTATTATCACAGTTATTAGTGCAGTAGACTGTTTCTCAAACATGCTCGAAAATATTTGCGTTACTTTGAAAAAAGAACTCACAAAGTTTATCACTCGAGGAGCGACAACACAGACGAAAAAAACAATGGAAGGATCATAAGCCTCGATTATTATTAGAAACGATGTCGCCAAAACTCACACATTCTTAAACTTTGAAACACTACAAAATCTTGATAATGATTGGTCGTAGTTTCAAATTCTGGATTTAAACTTACCCTGTTGGCATATCGTTAAAAGTTCAATACCATCAATACTTATTATTGCAAGTTACGACGTTTTGATATTATATTGAAATTTCTATACACGTGCTTCCATCTAGTGGTTAATTGTTGAACGACGACGAATTAGGGTTATTAATTTAGTTCTCCAAACAAGAAGCGATATATTGCAGGGAGTATTAGCTTTACTTTCGTTTTTTGTAACAAACAAATTATTTCGATAAACAAAAAATTTTTAATTTATTAAAATAAAACTCTCCGATGATATGAAATACGACCACGGGTAGTATTTTTGGTGCAGCTATCATTTTTGCTTTCCAAACAGCACATATTAAGGCATTTTTATAGGATTTTAGAGAATTTGCACGAAAGAATGACACAACCATACCATACAAATCGAATATGGTGGACTGAGCTCAGATATCTCTTTCGAAACCCATAGTTGGCACGCGTTAGACGCTAACTAACCACTTCTACTGTATTTATTGTTCTGTGAGCGACACTTTCAAAATGATCACCGTAAAGTTGCATGCAAAGCCTAATTAAGAAAATACATAGTTTTTTTATAATATCAAGTAACGGGACGAACAAGTCGTGCGCCTGATGGTAACACGCCTGTCCATAACAGTTGCAGTGCCACTCCTAGATTTAAATCGCAAAGATCTAAGGGGCACTGCCACTGCGCCCGTCCACCTGAGACACAAGTTGACAAGTCCCATGTGCCTGTAATTTCACCAGCACCCTTACCCTTCAAAACCGGAACACACTAATGCTGACATTACTGCTTGGCGGCAGAAATAGGTAAGGTAAGGTACTGCTACTAAAGGTGACCATGGATTAAGTGCGTTAAGTGCGGCAGAATGGCGACATAAAGAGTGACTGTTCAGGGGGTGGCAAAACTTTATATTTATTTTAAATTTCTTATTAAGGGGGTTAATTTGGATGCGTTACTTTAAGTTAGCCAAGTACTTCGAAAAGCGCTGTGACT